CACGGCCCCGATAGGGCAACCGTGTCGAAGAAGACATTGGAAATCAAGAGCAGGGAGGGGCCTGACGGGGTTGGAGGCAAACTGGGAGAGCCTGAAGCTGGCGGAGCGGAGGATGGGGGAAGAGGTCCGAGGACCGAGGAGGAGGAGGACGACGACGCCACGGAGGGAACATAAGTGCGAGGAGGAGAAGAAGTAACAGACGGGGAATGATGGCACAAATGCTCGAGGGGAGGAGTCGATGACTGGGGCGGGGAGGGAGCGTAGCGTAGGTGATGGAGGGGGAGGAGGAGGAGCAGGGAGGAAGGGAGGAGGAACACGACGAGCACGCACAGGAAGGGACACGACGACCATGCACAGATCAGGCCCGCTGCGGGCGCAGTGCGAGCTGGCCAGCACCCGCTCGCGTCTTGCGCAAGCAAGTCGGCGTGGCACAATGCAGAGGTGTGCTTTACGAGGACGGCACACAAGAGGCGCAGCGCAATAAAGTGCCACGCAAGGGAATTCACAGAGCAGCGCCATGTAATGTCGCAGCAGCGCTGCGTAACACAGATACTCGTAATATGGACGAGCCTGGCGCATCATGCCACACTGTAACACTTCAGAACATGCCATGCCACTGAGCAGCCTGGTAATTCATATACTGTAGCACTGCATGACACATTGCTAGACTGCATGCTTAAACATTGAACAGCTGAGCAATTCATGCCACAACATCGCACACTAACGCCTCATATCACCGCACACCGTAGCACATCGCGACAACATATCACGGCATATCACATCTCGAACACATTTCGCACTTACATCCGTGGCCCAAGTCAGGAGGAACCCGCCTGCCAATGGGGCCCAGGCTGCGTGTATATTTTCATAACGGGCGTAATCCGCAGGCGCGCCCGATTGAGGAATGATACCCCCCCCTGCGGGGCATGTGGGTGGCATCGGCATCAATTGACCACCTGCACGACGACTAAGACGAAGGAACCTGCGGATCGACGACGCCAGGCGAGGAGAAAGAGGCGGAGGAGGATAACGCAGCTGAAGGAGCGGATTAACGAATATCCAGGATGATCAGGAGTGGAAGGGACGAGGAGGAGGAGGCGGAGGATACCCAAGTACAGGATGAAGACCGAGCGGGAGACGCACACGACGACAACCAGCGATGCGGCGAGCGTGTCACCCCGTTGGACCCAAGCGCCATGGTAAATTTCAAATGCGGCCTGCACTGAAGCGGGGACACCATTTTTGGTGATGGGGAAAGGTCTGATGGAAACCAGCTTTTGCACTCGTGTGTGTGTCTGACAATACAGTATGCGGGAGGAGTGAGCCCCCCCCGCACACCAGAGTATCATACTAAACATAGGTACAGGTATGTAGTGCGAGAGAGAGAGAGGGATAGAAAGAGGGAAAGGTAAGAAAGAGAGGGATAGCGAGAGAGAGAGAGAGAGAGATATGAGAGTGGTACTCATGTCCTGCTATCGTGTACGAGGATGGAGTTCGATGATCACTATGATGATAATGCTGAGGATCATGATGATGCTGCTGATGATGATACCGATGCTGCTGCTGCTGCTGCTGATGATGATGATGATGATGAGGAGGAGGAGGAGGAGGAGGAGGAGGAGGAGGAGGAGGAGGAGGAGGATGAGGAGGCGAGGAGGGGAATGGGTAGGGCGGGGCCGCCTTTCTTGACGAGTGCGTGGACGAGATTGAGAGGGAGGAGGAGGAGGAGGGAGGAGGAGGTAGAGAAGGATGATGGTGATGAGAGGGGGAGTAGGACGATGAGGACCAGTGGAGGAGTTGGAGGAGGACCAGTGTAAACCCAAGACTCATCAACGATGTTTGGATACACCCTGCCTCCAAGCTCTCTCTTCATAGGCCCCTACAAGGGTTCATTTCCAGGGAGGAAATTGCCCTGTTGGGAGACAGCCATGTGAACGTCCTGAAGCGTGCCAAACCACAGGGCTTCCACATGTCAGTCTGACTTTTGCGTATTGCCGATCCTGAACTGTGTCAGAACACCACTCCTGGGATGTCATCACGGCGAATCAACGTAACTGTTGCGCCCTGGCAATCCTGAATCGTTCCAGAACGCCATTCCCAGTACGCTCTCTATGTGAATCCGTGAGACTCTTGCGATTACAAAGCGAATGTGCGCGGCGCTAGGCGAGAGCCACATTTTGAAAACCACCCCGCCCCAAACAGTGACACTCTTGCAATGTTGTTTGACGAGTGTGCGCGGCGCTAAGGCGAGAGCCACATTCTGAAAACGACCCGACCTCCATCCTTGAAGCTCTTGCGCATTTTTCTGACGAATGTGCGCGGCGCCAAGGCGAAAGGCACATTGTGAAAACGACCCGCCCACCATCCGTGAAACTCCTGCACATTTGTGTGACGAATGTGCGCGGCGCCAAGGCGAGAGCCTCATTTTGAAAACCACCCGCCCTCCATCCGCGAAGCTCTTTCAGATGTTTGAGACGATTGTGCGCGGCGCTGGGGCGGGAGCCACATTTCGGCAGCGGCCCGCCCTCCATCCGTGAGCCTGCTGCCAGTGTTTAAGCTGCAGGCTCACACGTGGTAAGTCAGGTGGGAAATAAACACAGACACAATTAATCGTCCACTCCCCAGAAGATATAAGAAAATATGGGAATTGGGGGGGAGACAAAAACCCAGAAACTAGGCAAAACTATTGGATCTTTCTATTTGTGTGTATCTATTGGTGTGTCCCAGGGCCCCTTCAGTAAGGAAGCCTCGGGCGAGACGCCTGGCCCGCCCTTCGGCTGGCCTCGGGGTGCGACGCCGGGGGAAGCGCGCGGCCACCCGCTGCTGCCGCCTCCGACACCCCGGAGACGTCCGGCGCGCGCGAGGTGCCGTCCCCCGCCTTTGATGGGTTGGTTTTCCACCATCGCTACCACAGGTCGGAGAGGGAGGAGGGAGGAGGAGGGCGGAGGAGGAGGAGGAGGGGGAGGAGGAGGAGGGCGGAGGAGGAGGAGGAGGAGGAGGAGGAGGAGGAGGAGGAGGAGGAGGAGGAGGAGGAGGAGGAGGAGGGGGGCGGAGGAGGAGGAGGAGGAGGAGGAGGATGCGGAGGAGGGCGGAGGAGAAGGAGGAGGAGGAGGAGGAGGAGGAGGAGGAGGAGGAGGAGGAGGAGGAGATGGAGGAGGAGGTGGAGGGCGGAGGAGGAGGCGGAGGAGGAGGAGGAGGAGGAGGAGGAGGAGGGGAGGGCGGAGGAGGAGGAGGAGGAGGAGGAGGAGGAGGAGGAGGAGGAGGAGGAGGAGGAGGAGGGCGGAGGAGGGCGGAGGAGGAGGAGGAGGAGGAGGAGGAGGGCGGAGGAGGGCGGAGGAGGAGGAGGAGGATGAGGAGGAGGAGGAGGAGGCGGAGGAGGAGGAGGAGGAGGGCGGAGGAGGAGGAGGAGGAGGAGGAGGAGGAGGAGGAGGAGGAGGAGGACCAGTGTATAGCCAAGAGTCATCAACGATGTTGGAATTGACCCTTCCTCCAAGGTCCGTTTTCATTGGCCCCTACAACGGCTTATTTCCATTGAGGGAACTACCTCGTTGGAAGACAACCGTTTGAAGATCCTGAAGCATGCCAAAGCATTGTTCTTTGGATTTCAACGCACGTATCAACCTGACTGCTGCGTTTCGGCGATCTGGAATCGTGCCATAACCCCCGATCTTTGGATGCCAACACCGCGAATCAACATAACTGTTGTACCCGCGTATTCCTGCATCCTTCCAAAACACCATTTGTGGTACGTTGATCATGGGAATACGTGAAACTCTGGCAACCTTTTAAAACGAATGTGCGCGGCGCTAAGGCGAGAACCACATGTTGAAAAGGAGCCGCCCTCAATCCGTGGAGCTTACATTGACAAAGGATGTGCGCGGCGCTAAGTGAAAACGACCCACCCTCAATCCGTGAACCTCTTGCATTTTTCAAAACGAATGTGCGCGGCGCTAGGGCGAGAGCCACAATTTGAGAAGGAACCGCCCTCAAGCCGTGGAGCTCTTACATTTTTTACAAGGATGTGCGCGGCGCTAAGTCGAGAGCTACATTTTGAAAATGACCCGCCCTCAATCCGTGAAACTCACTGCACATATTGAACAATGTGAGCGGCGCTAAGGCGAGAACCACATTTTGAACACCACCCGCCCTCAATCCGTGAAACGCTTGCAAATGTTTAAAACGAATGTGCGCGGCGCTTAAGCGAGAGCCACATTTTGAAAGCCACCCGCCCTCCATCTGTGAACCCGAAGTCACTTTTGAAGTTTCAGGGTTATAACTGGTGAGGAACTCTTAGGCGAAACGCACGGCCCGCCCTAAAAACTGGCCTCGGGGTGCGACAGTGAGACGCTATCTATTAGGAGAAGGAATGGACGAGGAGGAGGAAGAGGAGGAGGAGCATGAGGAGGAGTAGAGGAGGAGGAGGAGGGAGGAGGAGGAGGAGGAGGAGGAGGAGGAAGGAGGAGGAGGAGGAGGAGGAGGTGGAAGATAGGAGGAGGAGGAGGAGGAGGAGGAGGAGAGGAGGAGGGCGGAGGAGGAGAAGGAGGGCGGAGGAGGAGAGGAGGAGGGGAGGAAGAGGAGGAGGAGTAGGAGGATTAGGATAAGGAATGGAAGAGGAGGAGGAGGAGGAGAGGAGGAGGGAGGAGGAGGAGAGGATGAGGAAGATGAGGAGGAGGTGGAAGATGATGAGGAGGAGGAGGGCGGAGGAGGAGAAGGAGGGCGGAGGAGGAGCAGGAGGAGGAGGCGGAGGAGGAGGAGGGGAGGAGGAGAGGAGGAGGAGGGCGGAGGAGGAGTAGGAGTAGGAGGAGGAGGAGGAGGAGGGAAGGGAGGAAGGAGGAGGAGGAGGAGGAGGAGGAGGAGGAGGGAGGAGGAGGAGGAGGAGGATTTGGAGGATTTGGAGGATTTTGAGGATTTGGAGGAGGAGGAGGAGGAGGAAGAGTTATTCATAAAGGAAGTGGAATGGAGGAAGAAGTGGACACCGGGGAACCCTGCTGCTCCGCCAG